TGCTTCTCTGTCCAAAGGATTCCCTTTAACATCTCTTGTAAGGTTGGTCTGGTTTTAACAAATTCCCTTAATTTCTGCTTATCTGGAAATGTCTTAATTTCACCATCATATTTGAGGGACAATTTTGCTGGCTACTTAATTCTTGGAGGAAATTTTTCTCCTTCAGTGTTTTATATATACCATGCCATTGTCTTCTCACCTACATGGTTTCTGTCAAGAAATCCAAGCTTAGTCTTATTGGTTGCCCCTTGTAGGTAACTTTTCATTTTTCCCATGCTGCTCTCATAATTCTTTCTTTGTGTTTGGTTTTGGTAAGTTTGATAATGATATATCTGGGTGATTTTCTTTCGGGGTCTGTCCTGTTTGGGGTTCGTTGGACTTCCTGAATGGATATATTTCATCTTTCATCATACCAGGAAAAGTCTCTCCAACAAATCTTCAACAATTTTTTCTTTAGTTTTATTTGTGTCTTCCTGTTTTGGAATTCCAGTTACATGTAGGTTATTCCTTTTGATGGTATCCCACATGAACCTAAGGCTTTCTTCATTTTGTTTTGATCTTTTTTCTGATTAAGCCCTTTCCAAAGAAATGTTCAGGTATTTGCCTTCAGTCTTTGTAACTCTGTCTTCCATTAATTCAATTCTACTCCTTTGCCCATTCAATATCTTATCTATTTTTGAAAATTTAGCATTAATCTTCTGGATTTCTGTGTGTAGATTCTGTATCATTTCTAATTTTTTATTTATTTTGTCATTTTGTTCTTGTATTGTCTTTTGAAATTGTTCTAGGGTTTTCTCTGTGTTTTCCTTGATCTGTCTCTCAATTCGTTGAAGATATCTAAATATAATTCTTTTAAATTCCTTATCAGGGAGTTCCAATGTGGTGTCATCTTCAGGGATGTGTTTTGGGTCTGTATCCTGGTCCTTTGTTTCTCCTGCTTTATCTTGCTTCTTTGTGTGCATTGCAATGCTCTGTTGTCTCCGAGGCACTGTGACGTTTTTGTGTTTATATTTAATTGGTGATTGTATGTTGGAGTGACTTGCCCACGATATTCGTTTTCTTTGTTTTGTTTGTATATTATCTACACAAGCAGGGTACTGTGCTGTGCTCCTCTATTCACTAGTTGACAGCACTTATACACACCTGTCTCTTTTCCTGTTGTCAGCCTCTCGCATGTTCTTGCCGCCCTTGGCAAACAGAGCCTATTTCTAGGTCCCCAGAATCCAAATGACAATGCTATCACTTTAAAATCCAAAATGGTTGTTACTTGTAAAGATTCAAAATGGCTGCATCCTCAGTCACTTTAAATATCCAAAATGGCCACCACTTATAAACATTCAAAATGGCTGTGCCCTCAGTCACTTTAAATATCCAAAATGGCTACTGTGTGTAAACAATCAAAATGAATGTGCCCTCCAGACAGCAGAAAGTCAACAGATCAGGTTGTCTCCCACTTGCTGTTTCCCTTCCTAGTCATAGGTCACCAGCGCAGTTGTCCCTGCAGCCCTTGGTGACCAGGGCTGATCTTTTTTAGGTCAATTCTCAGGTCCCAACACCACTTGGAACTATTCAGGCTGTTGGTCCCATCAGAGTAGCTGACAGTCCGCAGCTCCTACCATCTCTGTACTCACTGTTTTCGTTCAGGTTTTTCCACTAGTTGGTGCCTAATCCACTTCTGTATAGTTCCTTTCAAAGCTCAGGGCTCCAGGATTATCTTCTGTATCTCTGTCAATTGGTTTTTCTTTTCTTTGTTGAAGAGGGTCTGTGTTGCTTGTCTGCCTATTCTTCCATCTTACCGGAAGTCCATATGCTATAATATTTTCAATAAACCTGGGAGCAAAAAGAAATAAAAATTAAAACAACAATGAAATACTTCTTTATATCCATTGGATAAGGACCCTAGTAGTGCAGTATTTAAGGCATTCAGCTGCAAGCCAGAAGATCATAGTTCTAAGCCACCAGCCACTCCATAGGAGAAAGAAGAGACAATCTGCTTCCACAAAGATTTATAGCCTTGGAAACTGTATAGGGCAGTTCTACTCTGTCCTGTAGGGTTGCTGTGACTCAGAATTGGCTCAATGGCAGTGGGTTTGGTTTGGTATCCATCAGATAGGAGAGGAATCCATCTGACACGTTTGTGGGGTGAAACCTGGCTTAGCTTTAACACAGTGAAATTAAATATCTGTATATCTTATGAACCTCCAATCTCAGTTCTAGGGACACTCCAGAGAAATTCTTACAAAGGAAAATAAGGGAGATGTATGATTATTATTAAATGAAATACTGTTTGTGGTAGTAGAGAGCTGGAGGCAATCTAGGAATAGAATATAATGGAGGTTTATAATGTGATACTAGGCTGTATTCTAAAGCAATTAATTTAATACCCGTAAAACATCATAGACATTTCTTTAAAGCACAATGTTGACTAAAAAGTAAGAAATAGTAATATCTTTATGCACTTTATATAAGTTAAAAATTCAAACATGCATTAAACAAAAATATCCCATGAAGGGGAAGGGAGTTGAGATGGAGTATGAAGAACAAAGCAGATGACAACACAGTGAAACCTGTGACATTTGGAACTCAATAGGCTGGTCTTGTTTTTCCTGCTCTCACAAGTTTTCTATCATCATAGTTTTCTATTGCTCATTATAGTAGAAAATATTTGAGTTTTCTTTTTCTAACAAGTTTCTGCCTTATACAAGTGCTGGTTTTCAGAAGTTTTACTGTAATAATAAAGGAAGCTTGTAGACTGATAATAGATTACCACAAACTGAGGAGTATGATTATTTCAATCCTATGTACCTGAGGTCCACAAAAACAAAGATGAGTTAATGAAGATGGCATTCAACCAATGGAGAAAGCAGAGCAGAGATATTCATATTTTTAAAAAATGTAGCAGAGATTTGAAACATAAGTCAGAGATGCTTTTTCTCAAAGAGCTTTGAAGAATCGGCAAAGGCAGGGAGCAGAAATGGACCTTGGAGTAACTAATTAAATGTCTGCACTGGAACAACTGAGCCAGTCACCATCTGTGGTAGTTAAGTTTGTGTGTCAACTTCAGTGGGACTGGTTGAGTTGCTGGGCAGCTGGAGGTAGTTACTCCCCATGATGAGACTGATAATCAGCTCCATGGTGGAACCTACCACAAGCAGCTGAGTAGTTGCTTTAGGGATGTGGTCTGCTTCCCGTATATAAGAAGCAGCTTTGGGAATGGTCTCTAGCTTATGGCACACTTGAACCCTGCATGTAGTTGTGTCATTATTCAGCAACCTGCCATGCTCTGCTTACCTTGGGACTTTCAATGGACTTTAATTAATGGCCTGCCATGTGGTTTGGTAACATCAGGACTGTGCCTTTTTTACTTGTCAACCTTGGGCTTGTCAGCCTCAGCAGCTAGAAGCTATGTGAGTGAAGAAAAGCCTCTAGCTCCAGTGGGCCAAGACTAGGAGGCAGAGCTGAAGCCCAAGGCTGAGGGGCTTTCACCCAGCCCCTAGAACCTGGCACTTTGAACTCAGACTTAAACCCTCCAAATTGTAAGAATAAACTCCTGTTTGTTAAAGCCATCCCATTTGTGGTATAATTCTTATCAGAGTGGCACTAGGTAACAGGAACACCATCTCTCCTCTCTTCATATAGGGCAACTGGCTGCAATGGTTGGCCCTAGGATAAAGCTATGATTACTACTACCCTCTAATCAAATTGAGAATCTACCTCACGGAGAATCCTCATCAGATCTTGGGACCAGAGAATAAAATTAGGCCCAAGACAACTCTGTAAATTCACAATACAAGTAAAGGAAAGCAAGACAGAAAAAAAAAAAAAGTAAAAGAAATAAAGAAAGAAGGAAAGAAAAAAGAAAGGCAATCTACCCATGACTGAAATCAAGCAC